GCGTGCCGAACGTTGCCGACCCCTGCTCTAGCATGACACAGGGAGACCAGCTTTGCACAGAGCTACAACAGGATCAGGGTAGTGCAAAAGTTACACCACCTTTGCACATGCCCCCTTGGCCTGCATGCTGCAGATCAGCTGAAACCAAGAACTGCCCCATAGATCTGTCAAGTTAAAAGCATGTATCTTATCTTGTTATCTGAAAATTATGAATTTGAAAAAATACTACACCAGAATATTCTGACACAGCAAAATAAAGTATATTTTTATTCTCAGCTTTCAGAAATTATCAGTTCTGTATCTTGTCTCTGAAAATTTTACTAGAATGTTAACAGTGGTCATTTCTACAAAACTATAGCCTCTGAAAGCTGTAGTGCAATAATACTTGGCAGTATTCTGTACTTGGGAAAATCAATAAGAACAGATTGAACAATTGCTTTTGGGACTGCTTATTTTGGTGAACTTCAGCCAACTAATGCTTAATTAACAATGCCCTGAGAAAAACTCTTACAATTCTGCAGTGTTCAGCAGCCTGCCTTTACTAGTTCAGCTGAGAACTATGATCAGTGGCAGCCAAGACCAAAAGGTCATCAGTCTTATCACTGGTAATTATCATACTGTACAGACTCTTCTGAGTTTCCAATGTGGTGAAACATCTTTAATTTAAATCTTCTCCATATTCATTAAGAAGATCATTTCTAATTAATGGAGATTTCTCAAGCTAAATAGATTTTCATGAAGACTGATAAAGGGTTCTTCACCTGTGTTTAGTGAAATAATTTTAGTTTAGTTCCCTTTCTGCAGAAAGATGACTCCAGGTCACTCCTTTTATGGCAAGTGACAAAATTAACAATTCATTTGAAGTCCATATTTTGAGATAGATTTTCTGATATTAAAGTAATATCATAAGAAAATGTACACACAACTCAAGTGATATCCATCAAAGAATTGCCATCTGCCTATCAGCCATCAGAATTATTCAAAGAAACTGGCAGGTTTGTGTAGAATATATCTAATGTTAAAAAAGTAATACAGAGAACACAAAATATTTCTAAGTAACATTCTAGGGTCAAGGAGTTATTGTAGGGTCTAGTGACAATATTTTTACTGAATATTATAAAGCACATATACATGTTAACATTCTGCATCTTACCTTCCTTCTGAAGTGCCAGTACTAGCTGGGGAATATTTTACTTCATAGGACAGAGTTTCTTTTGGCTGAAGAACAAGAATTGTTTCTCCACTAAGTGCAGCACCCATTAACACTACATCTAACTGTAGAGTTTCAGGTGTAGGATTAGTGATGGGAATTTCAATGCCAATGGTATCCTAGAAACACAAAATGAATGAATTATAGGACTTTCACTGTCAAAGAAGTTTGTTAAAGATGATGTAAGGAAGATGCTTCTACATTAATTGAACTGAATGGCACATAGGCCATATTTAATTTGATAAATTAACATAGTGTAAATGCACCAAGAGGCAGCAGTAGCCAATCGCCCAATCATAAGTCACTTCTTGTTCCATCTAGGGTGACCAGATGTCCTGATTTTAAAGGGACAGTCTCGATTTTTGGGTCTTTTTCTTATATAGGCTCCTATTACCCCCTACCCCAGTCCCGATTTTTCACATTTGCTGTCTGGTCACCCTAGTTCCATCTAGTAATCAGGGGTTATCAAACTCTCCAGCCAACCCTCCCCGCCAATATGCCATGTAGTCTACCAAGGCCCGTCTTACATTATAAAGCTAGCCAGCACCCTATCATTAGAGCACCCTAGAGAGAGCTAGTGCAGCCCCAAGTGACCTCTCAAGGGCAGCCTGGCTGGTGGCAGGGCCAGAGGCTGACCCAGGACTGGAGCAATCACTGCTTGGGGAGCACCGGGGCAGGACCCCAGAGCCCCAGCAGCGGGGCAGCCCCGGGCCCATGCAGGAGCAGGGTACAAAGCCCAGGAGCTTGTCCATTCCTGAGGGGGAACCAGGGGAGCTCTGGGCTGGGCCCTTCTGCTTCGAGCGTGAGGGCTTGGCCCTGCTTGTGCCGGCATGAGCGGGGCAAGGCCTGGCATGGGGGTCAGGCTGCAGTGCCCAAGGACTGAGCTGCCCAAGCTGTGCCCACCAAGGGCAGCCCGCAGAGTCCCCACATCCCTGCAGGCAGCGTGAGCTGCTGGCCCTGGCCAGAGGCTGCATCGCTGCAGGGTGCCACCATGCTCACCCCTTCCAGGGAGGGGTCCCAGGCTGGCCAGGGCCCCGAATCGGTGCTGAGCAGGGCCTGTGCACGGAGCAGCTCTGAGCAGGGATATTTACTGGGGCCCAGACTCAGCGTCCATTGCCCAAGCAGCTCTGCGCCCGGGCTGGGGCTGGGATTTAAAGGGCTCAGAGCTCCCGCGGCTGTGGGAAGCCCAGAGCCCTTTAAATCCCGCCCACAGCTCCGGCGGCTGGGCTGGGGCCGGGATTTAAAGGGCCCTTTAATTTGCCTGGGAGCCCCGGGTTGATTTAAAGGCCCTGGGGCTCCCAGCCACAGCCGGTGCCCCAGGGCCTTTAAATCTTGAGAGCCCCGCCTCTTCTGGTTGAGGCCACACCTCTTCCAGGTGAGGCCACGCCCCTCTCAGGACTCCAGCAGTACCGGTAAGTCCTGTAAGTTACTTTCACCCCTGTTCATTATACTGGCCACTCAACGTATGAAGTAAAGTAAGAGCTCTTGGTGCCGAAACTGGACTACATTCTGTACATTATACACGTGCACTTAATTTCCATGTCAAAGTCTGAGACCACAAGTCCACTGCATTCCCCAGGTAGTTTAGATTACAGAATTACATTAGTGTTGGCCTTGAAAGATATTGCTGTAATTGTAGAAAATTAGTAAACCAAAATAAAGCATTTTGGCCTGGACAATTATACTGAGTCACCACACTTAAATTTTACTCCATTTACATGTGCTATAGAGACTTGATCCTGCAAGCTACTGAACATTGTGGCCCAAAGCACATGAGTAGTCGATTGACTTTGAAAATGTGCTTACATACATAACTGGTGGGACCACAGAATACACCAATTTGCAGGATCAAGTCCTGTGCTACAGTCTTAAAGGGTAAGTACTTCAGTGTAACCGCCCCCCCCCCCCAAAAAAACAAAAACAACAACAACAAAACCCTAACCAGAACTATCACAGCATACCACTGTACACATTCTGAGTAAATTATATACTATAATAATTTATTTTACACTTACTGTGAAGTATAGAAAATAAAATAAAATAAAACACAAGTGACTTTCTGTAAGACAGTATGTAAAACATCTGGCTTTCTATCCAGAATTTTGCTGAATAACAAGTTTCCAAAACTGCTTGCTCACCATAGTTATTAAGATGAGAAGAAATAGTAACAGTGAGACTATGAAGACAAAATAAATTAACCTCATTCTCATTACATTCAAAATAATAATGTATACTACATCCAAATTTGCTCTCAAACAGACAGACATATCCAGAGTAACTCGATTAACTAAAATTAAATTACTCTGGATTTACATCAATGTAATTGATATGAGAATTTAGCCCTTTATTTCAACAGTTGTTGTTTTTACACTTAATTTAGAAAAATATGTTTCTAAATTCCATATAACTAATTAGCAGGTTTTAGAAAACCTTCTAAAATGTTCACTCTCTTTCTCCTCACATTTACATTTTTGGCTTTGGACTCAAATGTAGAAGCTTAGCAATAATACTGTTGCTCTGATGCCTTGAACTTACTAAAAGCCGAGATCTAGGAATACCAGCTACAGATTAAGTGACAAACTAGTATAATAATATATTTGCTCTCTTTCTCCACACATCTGACAACTATTTTTTCACGAATATGACCACTCATGTAGCAAAATATGAACCACCTTCTGATTATTGTTTAATAGTCTCTTGCCAAATTCAGCTGTAGTCTCACTGGCATTTCATGATCTACATTAGCCCCCTTTGTGTTGCACCACATAACTGATTAATATGGGTTGTTGGGTTTTTTTTTTTCCAGCTTCTATGTATTTATCAACAAATTTCGTTCAAACTTTAGTCATTCATCCTCCTTTTGGATAACTACCATTTTATGAGATCTGTAAAGATGTTCTGGTCTGATTTATTTGTCAAACTGCTTTTAGTTAAAGTGATTAATAATTATAACCTTCCCAAATTTTATTTTCTTCCAGGAAGAATGCCGCCATGGTTCTTTCACAGAACATTACTTTTTATGCTACCAATTGTTATGAAAGCATACTTTTAAAACTCAAGCTTAGGATATGGTTCATAACTTCAAGTTACTCAGTTTTCAAGAACAGCTTTCACATTCTCATTTACTTTAGGATTTATGGGAAAATAATATGCCACAGTTATGAAGTAATGTTTCTGATTTACAGAGTATATAATTATAAGCATTAGTATAAAATACATCCATAATTATATGCTTTATACCTATAATCAGAGAATAACAATAATATAATTATATGAAGGAAAGTTATTCAAAAACAATGTCAAGAGTTTAAACTGATGTTTGATCTGCTTTAAAATTGCTATGGATTATAGAAAGCCTTCAAATTCTCCATATCTAGTGGTATAGTTCAGTTCCAGGTTACGCAAGCTTTTGCTGAAGTAACCAATGCTGTGGTTCCTGGAGGCTAACAATTCTCTAGGGGTGGGATCGTGATGGCACATGGTGACACAAATGGCCTACAGCCAGAGCAGACACCCAGCAGTGAGCAGTGTTGGTGAGAAAAGGTGGGCATTGTCTGAGTACCTCAATGAGCCAATTCAGTGCATCTCTTGGGCAACCTCTGCTGGTGACCCTGTTATAGAAACCTGGCTTATAAATTAAAGCCTCTTTCCATTAAAAGTATCCCCAGTGGAGGATGGTGATGAAAACAACAGAGCTGCCCTTCTGGGAGGATGACTCCCACCCCCCACATGCTGTCTAAGACCAACAGTGTCAGCTGTTTGTTCCTCAGATTGTGATGGATCCAGACGATTGACAAAAGACTGCTGGAATTTGAATCTACTGCCTTCATGATGACCACAGCAAAAAATGAAGCCGTAGAAAGATAAATTCATTTACAGCTATAGGCTGCAACTTTACTAATGTTAAGATTAGTGAGGCAGAGGAGGTGAGTTGACTTACCCACTCGCAAACTACCAGACACTAATTGGGTCCTTAATTGGCTAAAATGGCCTCATGTTATACAACCAAGGAATGAGAGTTGGCTTCCTTAGCCAACATCCCCACTACTCAATTCATGATTCAACACTCTACTCAATCCCACCACCCTTCCTTGATGAGGAGGAATGAGGATACAGACAAGGGAAAGCTCTGTCTGCAAAGACTTAAGACTTCTCATGCCACAGAGACTAACAGGGTTTACCACTCCTTCCTGGATCCCACACTAAGGTCAATCACAGCAGCTGGCCCCTTGAAGCCTCTTACCCATGCTGGACGTTGGCTGCAAGCTGCAACAGTATTTACTGACATTTATTATCTTCTTCATCCCCATTTTTGAGGGGTGAATGCTATCTCCACCCAATCTGATTCCCGCTTGGTGTGAAGAAAGTGAAAAAACCCAGACACGCTGCCTATCTTGGAAAAAGAAAAAAAAATCCTTTCTGGCCCCACATAGGTGAGCAGGTTAGAGGAAACCCAGCTCTTGATAACTATACCATCTACATGGCAGGGCTGGCAAGGCAGCAGTCACCAGCAAGAGTGGCTGCTGTGTACCCAGAAATGCTTATGCACGTGAGGAGGGAAATAGCTGGAACCTATCAGTTCCCTCACACTCCCTGTATTGGCCAATGGTTGACACAGAGGTAGAGACTCCAATATGCTCTCCCCAGCTCCAGCCGTTGCCTGTACATACTCCCCATGCATGTTCCAAGCAGGAGAAGAGGAAAAGTAGTGGGCAGCCCTGGTGCCAGAACACACAACCTCATCTTCAACCAGGACCCAAGGAGTGGCCATTCCCCTGCCAGACTAATCAAACACCCCATCCCTTCCCTGGTAAAATGGAAAGGGGCAATCTCCTATCTTAACCGTAGCTTTTACAAACACAAATTACATATTGTCTAGCAATTCAATATACATTGCCACAATTTGTAATAGGAATAATAGTATTTCATGGTATGAATGAGAAATCTTGTTTCATTCTGAAAGGAAAACAAAAAACAATGAAGGATCCTTAATGACACTTCCTAGATTGGGTCAGTGAAATGGGTTGGTCTGGCCAGGCATTAGCCTCAAGGGGACATGCCATATCATAGTTTTTGATATAGGAGTCTGTTGTGCTGTGAATAACTTTGAAAAGTTAAT